AGTGAGCGCCGGACACGGCAAAGGAGTCCAGGGCTCAAGACTGTCTGTCTGAAACCGCGACACTGCCAGACATTCATCCCTTTGCCCTGCTGGCCCCTCCACCCTCTGCGCCTTTTCAGGGTTCCACGGAGCATCGTTGAATCTGCCAGCAGGCATGCAGGTATCAGCAGTGACGTGACCGTTCACACTTAGCCCTTAGACCTTGGCTTGCAGACGTCTTATTGCATTGTTGTCAAGGTTGCTAGCCCTGAAACAGCAAGCAAAACTCCGATCCTGCGAGCTGCGACGAACCTCGTGGAGCTGAACATGATACTGAAGGCATGCATTCTCCGTCACTCCTGACTGGCTTTCCGGCACTAGGCCCCTAATCCCAGAGTCAAGAGGACCCAGCACCTCGGATTGCTGTAGCGTGCAACGTCCGATCTCCAAGCAATGCCTTTTGGATCGATGACGTGGTCATGGACCTTCGGCATGATTGAAGCACAGCAATGAAGTATGAGCAGCGGGCTTTACTGAGGTGGCAGCGTAGAACGAGTCGTTGAAGAAGCTCATTGCCTGGCAAACAATCGTCAAAATCATTTTGCATCCCCCAACACGCCAGCACTATCGATGCACTACACATGCCTCCCCATAGCTTAACGAATAGCTTGGCTAGGGTGCAAACTTGAATTGCAGGCTCCGAGAAAAATATTCCTAGACTGAGGCTTCGAGACCTGTCAAGGAAAGGATATGCCCTCCGGCAAAAAGGCATCGGAAGGTTCCATTGACTCGAAGCAGCATCGTGGTTTGGCAGGCTAGGTCCAAGGGAATGGGACGTGACCCTTGAGGTTCACATGAAGCATTTGAGTTGACCGAACCATAATTGACGCACTCAGTCGAATAAACCCACTTCTGCCAGTTCCTGCTGCACTCGGCACCTGCCTTCAGCCCACATGGCACTAGCTGCAAAGGCGCCGCCCTGAGCACGAGATGCACGATGTTCCCGAACATCATATAGTATAAAGAAGACGATCTTTCTACCTCTGTGTACGACGTACGCGTCGTGATTCAGGCCAAGCACATACACGGAAGGATGGAATGGATGTCGGTTCCCAAATCCTGCACAAGATACACGATCGAGCGTTCAAGTCCTCTCAACTAAGGCCGTCCCTTTGCAACTGGGGCAAGTGAGTCATCAGTTCTGTAGCCTTAACATCTGAATCTCCTGTGGCTGTTGCGACTGGAACACCCCCTCGACTAAAGATCCTTTAGAACAGCATATTGTGGTGATACAAGTATATATATGTAGATATAGCATCAAATCGTACAAAGTACAGAAACACAAATCACAAATTACATACACACATGAATGCGTGTATGGTACTGTGTGTTCAGCACATGTAACCACACATGTCTTCGTCCAGAGTACAGTCTTCATGACATCATGCACATGACCGCATAAAATTGCAACGTGTAGGTGTATAAGTGCATGTTCAGATCTGTAGGTTATGTTATGTTCTGCTATGTCATGTTATGTCATAGCTGCTTTGATATATGATGTATCAATATGATGTGTCGACTGTGTCATTGTGCCAAAAAGTAATCCTAGGACGAAGTGAAGGCCCGGCGACCCTGGGCTTTTCACGAACTCGCGCGTGCGGTAGGGGCACTTGGCCTTCCAAGAGCAGATGCGATAGGTCCGATAGGTCATGTGCTAATTTTCAACGCCGGGCTGGAGCTGCTAGTCGAACTCTTGAAGCCTGTACATACCCCAACCATCTTGAAGCCTCACCACTCTGCACTCTCTGAACTCTGCACAATTGAATTACTAAAGCTGCACATCAGCACCAGCACCTCGCGAAGATTTTGAAGTCCAGACTGCTCCTACTGGCAGCGCGACTCGGGTCATGAGCGGCAGATACAGGTTCCTCGATGGGAGCCTCTTGCGGATGACAATTTCGAGCATGTCTTCATGCGTAGCACAATCAGCCGATGCTTGAAACCAGACAACCAGGCCACTAAAAGTCGATTTGTCCCTTCGTGGCTGAGTTCTGGAGAGTCCTTGTCTTCGTCCCACTTGCCGTAGAGCTCC